ACTTTTATTCTTTTTGCCATGTCCAGAATGTACGAGCGCTAACTAACTTTATTTAAGCGAAGTTTGCTACCGCATTACGTGGATATTGCTGGTTTGCCGTCAAACGAAATATGCTTCAATTAAACACATCAAAATTTTGCGCGATTTGATCTAGTTAGAAAAATGTTATGAACGGGAAAGCGTGAAAGCGTTCGGCCGAATACTTTCGAGCGCTACTGTATAAGACAAGTTCTACACTCACATCTATCAACCCATCTTGTTCTTGACAGTGAACAAGAATACATCAGGACACATCAACGAACCGTAATGGAGAATAAGTTGAAACCATTGTTGTTGAGACCACCTAGTGGCAGTATGTCAACAAGATATAAGAGGTAGACATACAAAATGAAATGTTAAAGAATGCGAAACTAGTCAGTTCAGAGACAAAGAACGTTTTGACCACTAACAAACTGTGTCACTGAAATCATGATGAAAAATGTTGAAACAAATAAAGTAACGAGAGGATTTTCCAAAATAATTTCCCATACATGCATTTTTTATGAGATTAAATGATGAGCATACAAAAGTCGAGACCAAATTGATTGTAGCTCTTCCAAGCAAAGTCAGGGAGTATTTTTACATTGAACAAGAACACATCATTGACCCAGTTGTAAATGGATTTTTCAGGAATAACAAAGAAATGTATGCAGTAATTCACTCAACACAAGTCAACACTATTTAATGCTGTTTCATGGAATTTTCTTGGCATCCGTTAAAAAAAATCCAGTGAAAATGGACTGACGGTTGCGTGAACAGGGAATAATGAAAATAGATCTTCACAAGACAATATAAATCATTCGCAGAAAATTACTCGAAAAAAAAACCAAATAAACTTCTCTGATTCATTCATGGATGTAGAGAACTGATAAATTCAATTAAAAATGTAAGAGTTGCAGAATAATGACTAGTCTCGAATACAATAGTTTATCGGGCCAGGTCGATCAGATGATTTGGCTGATTTCAGATTTCATCGAAGGGCATTGAAAACGAAGCGCTGCCAGACAGACGTCGACAGCGCTAGACATCAACTATTGACAACGTTGGCCGCACAGTGGAAGGCTGTTGACGAAGTGCGCGCTGCCTCTGCCGACCTTTGCGCTGGAGCATGTTGTGAGCAGGCAGTGAACAAATCCATCAGCGGTGGAGCACACGACATCAACAGTCCCGGCCGAGTGATCAATGTTGTCAAGAGTGCTGTCAACTAGTTTGGCAACGCTGCATTTTCAATCTTGGACTCTGAAAACGCCCATTGATATACCAATTAAAATGTTCAACACCAAAGGTTGAGTCAGCTCATTGTTTTCAGATACCGGCCAGCTGTGGATGTGGCACTCATGCAGTACAGTCCTTAGGCCCTTAATGCGCCCTATCTAGGACGTTTTTCAACCCATTCAACCCAGCAAAGTCACATATGATGTAAGCCTATAATGAGGAAGCTGGAGGAGGCTGGGCAGATTGATCCTAGGGAGAATTCAGTACCTTTCTTCTGTACATGTGCCTTTCAAGAAGCACCAGTGACAAATGGCGACACTGATGCAGCTCTACAAAAAAGGCTAGCATAAAAACGTTGTAATGGCTGGAAAATAGGTAGAAAATGGATTAAAGAAAAAGGAACAAATTGAAGGAGCAAAAACGCCCAACACTCTTGTGGTGGTGTTGCCGTTTTATTGCCAAACTCCTACTTATTTTATTCTTAACACTGCGTGAAGGGATAGTGAACCTATGTATTCGGATGGAGTTCGAATGTGGTAGATCTACTACTTTTCTCCTTCATCTGATATGAGAAAGAGCTTGTCAGTGTTATAGCTCATTTTGAATTTGCATACTCGTGATAGATCCCGCTCTATACCTCTCCTCAGTTCTGTCAAAGTTTGAGTATCTGTTTTATTGAGAAAAGATTTTTGAAATAGGAAGAGATTCGACGATAATCACGTTGACGCGACTTGTTGACTTACAAGTGAGCAANTGAACCTATGTATTCGGATGGAGTTCGAACGGGGTAGATCTACTACTTTTCTCCTTCATCTGATGTGAGAAAGAGCTTGTCAGTATTATAGCTCATTTTGAATTTGCATACGTGTGATAGGTCCCGTTCTATACCTACTCCTCAGTTCTGTCAAAGTTTGAGTACCTCTTTTATTGAGAAACGTTTTTTGAGATAGGAAGAGATTCGACGATAATCACGTTGACGCGACTTGTTGACTTACAAGTGAGCAAATTCTTTGGACTCTTGAGGAAGTCTTTTCCTTTGTACATAGGGACACTAGTCGGATCGATCGGGTGACGACGGCTCCCCTCGTTTTTATGCTAAACTTGGCCCACTCCACCTTTTTTCCCCTCATTTTCTATTACTGCGTTTTTTACTCGAATCACGTTCTGTCCGAGCTCGCTCCGCTCCACTCCCCCTCATGCGGGCGCAGTCCAGCTCCTTCATACCACCTATCACAATGAGCGTCTCGATCCTGCTGCTTGTGTTCCAATGCAATTTTAGTACGCTTTGGATCTAATTCTAGGGATATGCTGAATTTGAACATTTCAAGACACTTTAGCACATCGTATGTACCTGGGTGTCTATTCCCTTCTCGCAAGTTTTGATAATCTACTTCACTGAGTTCAGTTATGTTAGTTATATGTGTATATGTGAAGAAACTGAATAAAATAGAGGTGTAGTGGGCGGCACTATCCTACGTAATGACTCGAAAATCGGTATTTAGATGGACTCCTGTTGAGTTCAAACTGCAAGGTTACTCTAACCTTGCATTGCTGCTTGGTCGGCACTGAACTTGTCTGGAAGGATGTAATCACTGACTTTTTCCATGGCCCATTCCCATTGGATCATCTCCAAGATTATAAATTGGAGTTCCCGTGTTTAACTGTATCCTAGAGCGCCATTGTGAAATGCGAAAATCAATGTGTTTCAATGGCTTACAAAACAAATGCATAGGAAATACTGAGGCGTTAATTTTCAGAAGCTATTTTAATTGTGATAGAAATATGGTACATAGCTCGCTGTTTGTTGATCTTCTATTTTTCAGCATAAATAATTGGGTTCTGGGGAAGGAATCCGAAGAGGAGGAAACAAATGGAAATTAGTCATACGCTTGTATGAGAATCTTACCTCGAAGCTGCAAAGGGCATCAAGGTACTACAGGGGGAGAACAAGCTCGGCAGCACAGCCCTGTCCTAGCAGATGTGACCACAAATTCTCAAGAAAGCAAGAGCAGAACGGAGCAGAGAATTCTCTGGTGGGAGTCGCACAAGCTGAGAAGGAGAATCTCGAACAAAGGGGTTAGTCGGCTCAAGATTGAGGAATCCTGTCCCAATTTCCAAGATCGATCCGGATTTAGGCTAAAAAGATCTTCTACCATCTCTATAGCTACGTGGTGATGCAGAAGCATTGTAAAAAGCGTGGGCCTTGCTATCTCACCTATCTCCACCAAAAGGAAACGTTCGACATCTTACCGTGACCAAGCCTCTCGAAAAGGCTTCAATATAGAGATGCTTTAGAACGCCTTATCCTCTGGTTATGGACACGTACGATGAGTTCAAGACATCTCACAGCTTCACAAGTCAATCTACCGACGTCTTGTTTGGGGTTCACCACGGATCAGCCCGAGCTTGATCCTTTTCCTCGAAGCGCTGGATGCCTTCACAGAAGGACTCATGGAGGAATCACAGAAGGCTATTTGCTAAGCTGACAATGATCCTCTGATGACAGAGAGTAGGGTAATTCTCCAGGGAAGGAGAAGTTGCAGAAACGTTAGGGTGCGCAGGCAGAGATTGGACGGTCGCCCGAACATGAAAATACCAATTTCCCTATCTCACAGAGGTGCGCAAAGCCAATCGTTGTTCTGAAGTCGTTGGAAGACTTAAAGAATTCCGATGTTGGGAAGTGACCTGGTCGCTGACGGTAACGTAAAAATATTAATGCTTGAAATAATTATGGGTGAATGAGGTGGAGGAAACTTGGCACTCTCTATGATGGACTCAGCTAAATGATGCGACAGGTAAGGTGTACCAGACAATTGTGAGACTCATGAGGTTAGGTAGCGGATGTTGACTAGAAGCCAGGAATCACAAAATGCGATTGAATGCGTTTATATCGGATTAGGAACAGGATGCAGAATAGTCATACAGACAATTCTGTGTAGCTGAAGGTAAAAGAACAGCGCCTGCGATTGTGTGGGCCTGTGTTGCGGAGAATTCTAGATCATTTGAAGCTTGAAGCAAACACGAGGAGCCCCAAAAAAAAGATGGAGGATTGTTATCAAGTAGAACCCCTCCGAAGCCAAGGTAATGGCAGAAGATGCCGCAGATGGGAGAGAATGGCGACATCAGACAAGTACAACGGGTATATTGCTAGGCAGGAGAAAGAATGAAGAAGTTCCTAGACAGGAGCATTATCGATCATGCAATATAGAAAAAAGGATGAAGTAAAGAAAACGAAAGGAAAAAACGATGTAAGTGCAAATGTGGCAGCGTCAGGGGCGACGTGAGCTATTCCAAACATTGATCCAAGGATCGATTTCGTGATCGCTACCCGCTCAGTTCAGCAATATCCTCTAACCTTGAAAGATCGGCTGATTAGGAATTACTCCTTCCATATGGGAGGATATAAGCACTAGCCGAATGGGCAATGGAACGCTTGTAGGATTCCACATTGGAGTACAATGTCGAAGCATTTCCCAGTTTGGGATTGGCAAACACCAAAATTTCAACTGTTCATTGATATGCAGGACTGCCTCATATACTGTGGAACGGTTTTTGTGTGATTGCCTCATTAGAATGATTATTAGTGTTATTATTATTATAAGCAATCCAATAGTTCCTGTTTGTTTTTTCCTTGTCATTCGTCATATTCTGTATCCGAAATGAATGTCCCTTACATTTGTGCCATAATTGGGCGTGAGCTCTTGAAAGAAAAATCGACATGAAAAATCAGTAAAAAAAAAATTTATTCAAGCATTTTTATTGAGCTTTTTCTTGTTTTCTGAGTTCCATATTCCGTTGATGGAAGAAGAAGATATCGTCGAGGAGAGCCTCGGTTTTTTCAATAGCTGCAACCATACCCTGCAAGCATACAGTAATATCACCGAGTACCACAAATTAACGCCACAACGGAAAAAAGTATCGGTCATAGGTACCTTTTTCTTTGTTTCCTCATCGGACGTTTTCGATAGTATTTCGAATAGTGCCCCTATCCCGGGCACAATCATGAATCCACCTATCGGCATATATTGACGGTAGGCTTCTTTCAGCTGAATGAATGAATTAGAAGCTTGGGTGAGGTTTAGGCTTGGCTCATGGTCAGGAACGGAACTTCACTACCTGTTCAAGAGTGTATGGCATCTTCCTACCGCCCACTTCTTCTTTAAGGTAACCATAAAATTCTCCCAAAAGTGGTTCCCAATAAGCTCGTCGATCCTGCCCGCTTAAGCATGAGCATAGTAGCCGTACAAGGTCGGTAGCTGCACAACCGTAATGAACTGTCTAAAGAACATTCTGGGAAATGGGTACAATCTGGATTTAACTTTCATTTTATCCCATGTAGTACATGAATACTACCTGATAGTCTATAACAGCAGCCATTTCAAGATGGTCCCCTTTCTGTCTCCACAGGAGATTATTGGACCATAAGTCACCGTGACAGAGGACGCTTTCCATCCCTGAAAGTGAGTTTCACTTAAGGTGAGTGTTAGTTGGCAGACTTGTTAAACAGTCAAAGGGTCGTTCAAAGTCCCTTCCTTGGCTTTTATACAAATGATTGGCAAATGCGCAAATGTACTAACCGAACTGTTTGGTCATGTTGTCCACCCACTCGAGATCAACCATGTCAGAAATGATGCTACTTAATCGATCTCCTTTTTCTTCCAAATTTCCATCACCGAAGAATGTGAACATCGTAAGTATTTGATCCAGCACCTGAAAGTTTCCCAGAATTCAAGCGAAACAGTCAACCCATTTTTTAGAAGCCAAACAAGTTTTGAGTAGTATGTTCTATGCGTAGACAGTACCTCTTTCTTGAATATCGCTCCGAAAATCGTTTTAAATGGGGATATGTATTCATTTCGTACATCAGATGACACTTCTAGTGAACTGGCCTCCATTACGGCTTTGTGTCGAAGAACCTTGAAATAATAGAGTATTTTCTAAGGATTGCTTAACAGTCAAACAAACACAATTTGCAGGCATGACTCCTCACTTTCCACTCACAATGCTCAAGGAGCTACAAGCTTGTGCTGAAAGGATGCCAGAGTTACCTACCTGTTTCACTTCCTCTGGAGTTACGTTTTCATATACGGGCACAGATTTGAGGTTTTCCAGATATTCCATAATTATGTATCCTTTGACTGGGTTCCATTCTGTGAACATCTTCATATAGTAGATCTAAATTTACAAGAATTAGGGCAAATGAAATATCGATGCCAAGCCTTATTGACCATACGATTCCAGCCGAATTCCTTTTCTCAACAACCTTATTGAGAAATAGTTCATTTCTTTGGGAAAAAATCAAAAAAGAATTTTAATAAATGTTACTTCAGCAATTAGATGAAAAGGAAAAGTAAGTCGCTAAGCAAGAAAGCGAACCACAGACCTTTGGAATGCGCATCTTCTCCTTAGGAAGCTTCATCAGATGATTGTAAGTTTTTACTTCGGCGTTGTGACACTGAAACAATTCGAAAATGTGAATGGAAGCCCAGTCGGTGAGGATGGACTCTCGGTAGGTACGCCATGCAATCGACTTCCTTTCCAAGTCATGTAGATTCAAAAGATCAGTAGCCCAACAAAATGATTTGCGAAACTATCTGACATATGAGTTCCTGCCTTCAATAACCGCTTCAGCATAGAATGTGAACTCTAGGCATACAATGCTGCTAGTATCTTCCCGTCAGGAATCGAATTCAAAACATACTTAGGGTGAATACAGTTACTGATTCAAACATTCACCTATACAAGTAGACCTACCATTTTCTGCATCACTTCCAGGTCTGCCATCAGTTTTGGATCAGTGAAAGTGTTCTCAATTTCATGCTTTTCACACATCTCAGCAGAAATTTTTTGCATGGCAAGTTGGGTGAGAATCTGAAATAATTGGTCCAGTAAAGATGGTAATAACTATAATTAAAATAATTGGCCTATCAATGAATGGGATCAACTCTGTTGCAGAGTACATAAGCCTGGAATACCCGTAGACAGTAGCGGGTGAAAATCAAGAATCAGCTTAACGGTCATCCTTATCCTGGATGAGCATTGAGGAATCCTAGGGGGTCCTCTTCTTGGAGATGTAGTGCGTCCAGAATCCAAATAAATTTAGCAAAGGCGATTCGAATTCGATGTGGGGGCGATTTCCGGATAAAGTACAAACACTAAAACTTCGATAGCTGCAAGCATACCTTTACAAGAAATTTCTCCGGCAGTTTCTTATCCTTATGCTGCCAATCTGGTTCGATAAGTAGCATTTTCGACATAAATCCCTGAAAATAAGTGAAACTCGAATCAAGCACAAATAATTCTTTCAGAGATAGTTCCTATCATAGAAACCCTTTTTTTCCGCAGATGATGTTGATTTCGATACAAACTCAGTAATCGGGAAAACCAGTATCTGTAGGTATATCGGTTGAAGAAAAGGGTGATGGCATCGCCTCTGTGTATGGGCTATTATTCGTATCACGCAGTGCCCAGAAAGTCGTTGATACTTCTACGGCTCAACATATTCAGAGTAGCGATCTCGTGTGGGAAGAAAAAGAATATCGGAATCAGTCAAAATGGCCACCACCCACTTGTTAAAGCTCCAGAGCAAAGAGGTACTCATTCTTCTTTGTCGACGTGGCGCATCCCAAATCCATTTATTTTTGGCTAACCACGTACTATTAATTACTCATAACACTCACATGCTCACTGAATCTTCTTTTTATGAAGTTTATCTATGTTAGCGATGTTAGCGCGCTGAAACTCCTTCCAGACCACCATGATAAGCTATCTTTGTCATAGAAGTCGTGCTTCAGACTCTTCTTGTAAGGGAACGAATAAGATAACGCGCTGAATTATCGAGTGTGACATTTTTTGATTGGGAGACACGTGCCTATGTTATAAAAATAATCCCTCTCTCCATGCCCCTGGCTGTCAGGGATAGGTTGACTTCTGAAGAGAATTTTGACCTTTACCCATAATAGTTCTCCTGAGCAAGCCTAAATGAGCACCAAGTGGAAGAAGGACAGGCCCAAGAAGTCTGGGAGTGTTAGTAGTGTTAGTTAGGATTAGAATCGTCGTCCCTGCGATCTGCTGGTTTAAGTTTGCCTGGGCCTTTGATTACGGCACAAAACCTGATGTTCTGTTCGGTGGTATTTATGATTTCTGCTTTTCATCGCTTCATATGTACTGCTTACAAAGTTGCCCAGCGATAGTTCAGATAAGGTGCCCGCAAAATGATGGTGAAAACGATTAGGAGATATCACCCAAAGTGGTAATTTAGTTGCAGGCAGTTCTACTAATGTTGGTGAAAGTACCTGCATCCAAATCACCTCTCTGGGTTTTTTCTCGGGGAGAGATTCAAATTCGATACCCGCCCAGGTCAGCTAAGCCTTCTGCCTTTCCGAGGTTGAATGATTGGTACCATACTTGTCTGGAAGAATAAGTGCCGACGTGATCGATATGGATGAAATACTCCCACAAACTTATCACAATGACAAGGTAGTGAAGTGTCGAATGAGAACGTTCTCACCCAGAAAAGCTTTTTTTTTGATGCGGCACTTCATTTGACGGACAGCCCACATGCAGCCATTGTTTACTTTACCCAGAGCTCCTCCGCCTAGTCCACCTGTTGTTATGCCACTCACATTGTTTTCTCCTATGTCCTTGGCGATCTTGTTCGGTCCAAATGAGGCGACCGTGTCGAACTCCCGTTGCATATCCTCTTCAATGTCTTCCCAAGTGACATGGGTGCGATAAAGACCGTCCGCTGGTGTGTACAGATTCAGAGACATGAGATCTACAAAGTATACCCCAGAACATTAAAATATGGACATTTGAAAAAAAAGCCGTTCAGTTCAACGATTAGAACAACGATAGGAACAAGTGAGTGAATATTGATTTCAATAGATAGCAAGAAACGTTCCCATCTGTACGCTTATCATATACGTACAATCACGAGGTTTTCAGCTTTTCTTGTTGATGTCAGAGAAAGCCCTTGCTTTCTGGTCTTTTCTGAAACTTTCTGACTTATTCAACGCCAATGCTATTTCTTCTCTGCCATACCTAATACAGCATCTCCCTGATGCCTCACTTAAAGGGTTGGTAAAATGAGTCCGATAGAGACCATCAGACTCAGAGACAGAGATCTCAAATGCTCCCGTAAATATGCGGTCTTCTGAACAATACTATAGACAAATGGGGAATTCGATGTAGGTGGGCACTACGAAATGATCAAGACAATGTTGAGACATCTCGAAAACTGCTCAAAAAATAAGACTTTCGAAAAAATTGATTGTATAAACGAACTGTCAGCGCCATGAAATGACTCCAAGAAAAAACCCTTATAAGTGGTGCTAGGCTCCTTATCAACACTCCCGATTATGTCACGACGGCACTTTAGCCTTTGATTATGCTGAGCATTTCCCATGGGCACACTATTGCTTCGTGTCTGATTATTTCCTATTTTTTCTGGAACTGGGTTAACTGGATCAGGAAATTTCTTGGTCGGTTGATTGGGAACAATGTCGCCTCCGTTCTAATACAACTGATGCAAAGCCGGTTTGGGCTTGGGTAATCATCCCCAAGAATAGTGAGTGGTTCGCTTTCGATCTTTCCTTCCAGTCCACATCCTGGTCAGAATCTCAACAGCTTGTTTATTCGGAATATTTGATCAAGGTAAAAGGGGGTTGACCTCGGAAACGGAAAGAATCGGAAAGGAATCGTTGCAAGCGTTATTCCCAGTATTTATCGCCGTCCTAACTTGATAAGTAAGTTGATTACTTTGTGGTTCGACTTACTGCGGAAAGTGTTTTCTTTATATTCTGATGCCATTCCTGTTCTGACTAATGCACACCTAATCATTTCTGTGGCGAGAATGTGGCAAGCGAAGAAGCACTCAAACTAGCCACTGCTGAAGGAAGATCGCGCTCTTATTCATAAAACAGACCTGCCTGAAAGAATGTTATCTCCACTAAAAAGTGGCCTGGACCGAATCTACAGAAATAGTCCAGTCATTGAAATACTATAAGTCCTCAGGAAGGGAGCTTCAGTAGCAACCGGCGCACTATCACAGTCCAGGGTTAAGGTACCAGATCAAGACTAATCAAGCAAACCTTCCATCCCTGTGGGGTTGATAAATTGGATCTAGACTTGTCCGAGAGGATCAAAGCACTAACATGTACATCGGGTGGCCGGCCAATGCAATTCTTGGTTAGACTAGAAACACATTCAGATCGTGAAAGATAGAATGTGGTTAGACATTTCTGGTTGCTCATCTCAATCTGCCACAAAAATCTAAACGCACGTTCGTATTTCAGGATTCTTTATTAGATTCAATAACTTACTTCGCAACTTTCTATTCACGATTGAAGAATTTTCGTTTATAACACACTGAATACCCTTCCATGCACGAATGCCGTGCAATCGTCTATCGAGGTACATAGCTCAAGTTCTAGCCATGCAGTCTCAATTTGCAGTCCCTTCAAACTTAATTGAATCAAAGTCGAGCAGAGCTCGGATACTGTAAGACTTCATTTTCTGAATCCTCCAACATTTATTGGCAAAAATCCACAGATACATATAAAGACGAGACTACTCAACGCTTTGGCCATTTCTAATATTTACATTGCGATCGTGATAATAAAAGATATCTTCCAGCAGACACACGGTCTTCTCCATAACCGTCTCCAGACACTGCAACCAAAATGGTCAACCTGGATAGGAAAAAATAGAAATCACCAAGATCATACCTTCATCTTCTGGTTTTCGTCAGGATTTTTGAAAATCACTTCAAAAAGAGGTGCTATCACTGTCACTACCATAAAAGCTCCAGTAGGAAAATATCTACGATATGCTTCTTTCAACTGAAATTGTGGAAGGTAATGAATAGGCTGGCTCTAGTCTATCCCACTAGGGTTCGCGCTATGCATTCAACCATGAACTACATATTAACTCCTTAAAAATAAATACTACATAAATAAACGGATAGGATGGGTAAGGCGGGCAAAAGCGTTAACTCAGAAAAATCCCAAAACGGATGAGTTAGCCGGTATTGCCCTGAAGACTACCCTTCAAATGTACCTTTCTTAGCTACTTCTCGAAGGCTTACTACGCTTTTATTAGACATATCCATCTTTTGCAAGTGTACCATTTAGGAGATGTATCACTATTTATGTCCATTACTCTATGGAGCGTGACTTACATGCGGGTGGAATCTATGAGATGGCGTCCCACTTTTCTGGAATGAGAAACGAGGCGGGCATAAACTACGAGACGAGCATAAACTACGTTCCCTTCAGATTAAGAGTAATCGTTGATCAATGGATGAAAGCGGAGCGACCTGTTCAAGTGTGTACGGCATCTTCCTCTCTCCAACTTCTTCTTTAAGATAACCATAAAACTCTTCCAACAGTTCCTCCCAATGTGCTCTCCTTTCTTTTCCACTGAGACATGACGAAAACAATCGAACCAAATCAGTCGCAGAACATCCGAAATGAGCAGCCTTAAGTAGTAATTTGAGAATTAGAATATTTTATGAAGATTCACTATCGAGGAAATGGATTTTTTTCGTTCAGAAGTATTGGCCTATCACTCTCACTCGAAGGAGTCCGTCAAAGGAATTAGACTGCTATCAATGCTAAGACACGGGTTCGTGTGCACGCTTTTCCTTCAGAATCTTATTAGAGGGATAGTTATTGAGAGGAGTCCTTGATTAAGACTACTGTGAGGTTTTATTTTAAAAAATAGCGATCTATACGCATTTGAGCAGAACCCAAGAGATCTTCGGAGATACGAATACTCTACTAATGAATTAAAAACGAAAACCTTGCTTCAACTCTATTTACTTAGTAGTTGCTAGTAAGATCCACCGTCGAAGATTGAGTGGGCCACCCATCAGCCTAACTTTGTATCGCTTCCTTACCTGGTAATCAACCACAGCTGCTAGTTTGAAATCGTCCCCATCTGGCCTCCAAAGCATGTTCATAGACCATAGATCCCCATGACAAACAACGCGATCCATTTCTTAGTAAAGAACAGAAAATATTTTTCGATTGCTTTCATTTTGTAATTCAATTGCTCAGATCCTAGGAGTTAGAAGGGAGCTACCTCAAGTTCTTCAAAAGAGAAACCAATGAAGAAACCACAAACCAAGTTCATCGGCCAGATTTTCGGCCCATTCCAAATCAACGATATCTGGAATGAGTTCCTTTAAGCGCTTGACACTGTCGACCAATTTTCCATCTTCGACTGAAGCGAACAGCTGTACAATATGTTCTTGCACCTAGAAAAGCTACTTAAGGTTCTTTTTGAAGTTAAAGTTCAATCTCTTCAGGCGAATTTTGAGAAATCCAAGTATCATGGGTGGTTATGGATACGAAAGTGTGAGCTCTGAATGGTTAACTAATGAAGGGCAGGTCGCAAAGTGAAGCCGTCGTTGTATGGAGACTACTCTGTGGGTTTGCCTAAATGTTTAGTGACTCCTACTAGCAGGTACAGGAACGCACACACAAATTACAGCGGGAGGTTTTCAAGATCTTTTGGGAAAAAGAATCCACGTCCTTTATAGAGAGTGTGGTTACGTAACTCAATCGTGGTTAGATCTTTAACACAAGTTCTAGTAGAACATCGAATTCGAGCCAAACACGTTTTACTCACCTCTTGCTTGAACATTCTATAATAAACATTATCGAAGGGTTTTTTGCTGAATTCTTCCCTTTCCTCCATTGGTACGTTGAGGGAATATGCTTCGATAACAGCTTTGTAACGTAGAATCTAAACAGCATCGAAGTTGCCAGGTTAGTCAGCTTGCGATTCTCATGAAAACGACTCATCTCATGATGATTACCGAACATCAACATCAATTATCTAATAAGAAAGTCACTGTTAGTAAAGGCCGATCTAATGACGTCCAAGTTGGATTGGTGAAAAGGGCAAAGATTGAGTTCAGGTCTCTCACTCACAATATGTGTTCCGTCTCAACACATTCAAGCAAACTTCTCATGTAGCAAATATAAAATCATCGCGACAACCAAAGAAGGGTAGTGGTCGGAGGGTACTGACGTGCATGCATGAACAGCTAGACCGGTCGAGGACATCAAGAGCCCTAGTGTCCCCCCCCCCCTCTCCCCAGTCCGAGCAAGTCAAAATTGATGCTAAACTGGCTTGAAAGCTCTGCCATACACCCCTTACATACCTTCGCCTCCCCTAACGAAGCTAACGAAGTGTTCTGTTCGAATATTCGATAGAAGACGACTGCATGACTTGCATGACAAGGGTTCACGACATTCAGGTGGGATTTCTTGGAAAATCGGAATGCTGGCTCACTTGAACTAAGGTTCTGATTTATTAATGCATAGATGACTTAGAAGGAAGGTGGCTGCCAAATATTGCGCCCTTCCCCTAGAGGAGAAAGCTTTCGCAATGCTGATCCCGAACAGATTACCCCAAACCGTGCCACGCTACGGTAACCAACCTGTTTCAGTTGCTCCGATGTGATGCTTTCGTATACATGTATTTCTTTGATATTCTCCAGATATTCCATTACTATAAATCCTTTCACTGGGTTATTTTCGGTGAAATTTCTCGATAAGAAAATCTGAAAACTTTACAGGTCATAAATGTTTGTCCTTATTCTTATTAATCTTATAGAACCTTTGGGACATGGATTTTTCCTTCGGGAATCTTCTCCAGAAACTTGTATACGGCCACTTCAGTGTTATGTTCCTGAAATACAGCCTTATAGTTATATGTCTGCTTCTAAATCCATTTCAAATTTCTTTTAATTTGTATTTTCACTCTTTTGTGGATTACTTTTGAATTTGCTTTTTTATAATTCATTGATAAGTTAGTAGTTTCACGCTTCCGTAAATAACAGGCAGACGAATTCAATGAAATGGACTTCTTACACGTTTTTGAAGTGCTTCAAAGTCGGCCATAAAAGTTGGGCTCATAAAGTTGTTGTTGAGGTTTTTTCTTTCGAATAATTCATTCGTGACCCTCTGCATGACAAGTTGTGTAGCAATCTGGAAACGGTTCACTCCTTAGAATGTATTCGAAGTAAATAGGCTAGAGAATACGGTCTGAACAACACAGTGACCGTAGTGAACCCTTGGGAATACGCTATGCGGATGATATTCATCAAGATCGTAGAAAGGTTGGAATGCACTTGAAATATTCTCGCATTTCCGAAGGAGTTTAGCATCCTAGCAGCTGCATTTTTACCGGCTACATCGCTTGTGCGCCTCCTCCATGTTTTTGAGGTTCCCTAGAGTACATGGGCCGTATTACAGGCTTTTCTGCCCCAACATAGTCCCCTATTCCCAACGTGTCAGGTGATTGGTGCTAGTCTTGGTTGGGAGGAGAAGGTTGCCAACTGAACACCTTAGACATTGGCTCTCGGAAAACAATAAACGAACCAATTCAGCGACTGGTTGATTTTAGAAAGTAGGGCTAGGTGCACTGGAGAGGATCTTAATACCCAAATCACTAACCGCCTTATTTGCTGCTTTGGAACCTGATGCTCTCGAAACCATTGTGTGTTTTGAGTTTGGGACCTTCTATTCCAAAAATATAGGGCACATACCTTCACTAGAAACTTTGCCGGTAGTTTATCGTCCTTAGGTTGCCAATCAGGTTCAATGAGTAGAATTTTTGACATAAATCCCTGCAATAATTTGTAATCAACACAGGTACTGTAGTTAAAAACGGTAGCTTAAATCAGTTCCTGAAATTTAAGATCAGCCACTCACATTCCCCTCTCCAATGTCTTTAACTGATTTTTCTGTTCCGAAAGATGAGGTGGTGTTCAATCCACGCTGCAAGTCGTGTTCAAGATCTTCCCATGTGACATGTGTGCTGAACAAACCTCGACCAGGTGTGTAGAGATTCAAGGAAGTCATTTGTCTGGAAAGGACTGTATACGTGGAAAAATGCTATTTTTGGCCGGTGAACATACTTTACCATGCCATGGTGAGATACTGTAAGAGCTTCTTATAAAAAACATACGCTTCAATTGTCAATGTGAAGCTAAGACCGCCATAACATTGTGTATCAAGGAAACTCAAGATGGGCTCGCGTTGCAGGGTTGCCTCAGCTTGATTGATGTTCTACAAATCTTACAGGCTCAAGGAAAGATTCTCTACAACTGCTACTGGTTTCATTGAATCGATAGTTGTCAAGAACTTTTAAAACGGAAACCCAGTATTTAGTCAATCAGCTTGTGGTGCTTCCTGTATCCTCAACAGCTGAGCTCGTGAAACCCTGTCCCGATCATACCACAAGAATCCCTGGGAAATTGGGGGATGGACGAGAAGAAAAGTCTCACGGAGTAAGGTCACTTGGAAGAAAATAGTTTCTCCTCAATAAGTTTGAATTTTTAAAGGTCAAGCAGGAGGTACAAAGGAGTACGTGAACTGTAAAGAAAATCTCTGACTAGTGGAGAGAAATGATGTCATGAGTGGCTTATATAGGAAAGAAAGTCAGCATTAGGCTCGAATGGAGGCGGAAATGCTGACGGAACACTTTTATCTTTATCAGTATACGGAAAACTGACGCCTATCAGCCCCACCAAATGCATCAACAGAGGGAAATTGATAGAATTTTTCTCAATTTATTAATTCGCGTTGTACCCGTGCAGGGATTTGTTGTTCTGCTTCTAATCCAGATTAATCGTGATCTTGTGAGCTAAGCCAAGCGGCTCACCATTGCAAACGTCCTCCACAATCAGGTTTGAACAAACAAAAGGCCTGTAAGAGAAAAAGGAGAGAAGGGGAAGCGGACTGAATTTCCATGCAGTGATATGGTGCACATCGTTGATGTCGTGATTTTGGCATACCCAGGAGCAGATGCACCCCACGACGAAGGCTGCAAGGAAGTCGAAATTTGGGCAGCATTCAAATCGCACGCCATACTGTTCAAACTAAGCGCTCAGTGCGGAGGGCAGAAGACATGAACTTCTCACCAATCCGTAGCCAGTTCAAGACTTGACTTCGCGCCGTCTCTACGCTGCCACGTTGTCGCTTTGTGAGTCGAGAACCATGAGTGCTTGGACCGGCTTGGAGCACCGAACTGACCGTGTGGTATTCGCTTCCTTCGCTTAGTCCGTAGTGAATCTGACTCGTAATCCAACCACACCATGGTGTCCATCCCTTTCTGTTCGAATAATGTGAGTTATTATATGATTTGCCTGGTTAGGGTTGGCGTCTGCTGTATTCGTATTTGCAACTATATTGAGAAGTGCCCCTTTTGCAAACGCGATGATCACTATTATCCCCTTTACATTGAGTCATCCACATATTGTGTTTTTTTGTGTCACTCGCATCACCTGTGCTTTGTAGTAAATGTATATGCGTGTATGTGGGATAGGGATTTTATACCTAATAAGATGTATGGCAATCAGTCATGCTCGTTTCTTCGCCATAGCCTCTAGTTTTTGTCCTCATCCGTCCTTCTGCTCTGTCCTTTCATTCACGTGAGAAAACGCTGTCACCACTCGTCCCGCTTCAGGTTTGAGGTGCACAACCTCAAAGCGTTTTCAGGCACAGTCAACCTCCTTTCTGAATGCAGTGGGCATCACATCTATTTGAATAAATGAAATGAAATAGAGATACGGACTGCTGGACACATCTCTAAGTGTGCCAAGAATTACGTGCATTACTCTAGTCAGCTCACAATCAGATCCAAGGAAGATTTATGAAAGGAGAACGGCTTCAACAAGTGAGCAAAATTTAGATCCACAAGTAACCATTTTCAATGGCGACTGGGAATATTTATACTTTTAGACTACGGGAGGAAAATGGCAGATTTCTTTTATCGAACAAAGAGTGTATATTTGAATACAATGACAAAAACCGAAGTCGATAGCTAACATTTCATTTAATCTTATGAAAGAGTCGCTCAATAAATTTGTTCCAAAAAATGATCCAATTCAATCGGCTTAGTTCTTCACATGGATCTTCAAGTTCCTGTCATGGCATTGAAGCAGGTCATCCAGCAGGCACTCGACCTTCTCCATCACCTTCTCCGAATACTGTAAAATATCGTAATGAACAGTAACTACTATGTGATCAACAGGGAGGACTAATAAGAAGGAATAGGAATATAGTAATGTACTAGGCCTCACATGAATATGCGTTCTCCAGCTAAATCATTTTTCAATATGAGAATGCAGTAATTTCCTTCGAGATTACTTTTTCTTATTATCTGTGATACCTAAAGAAGCCACCGATTCTAAAGCCNATTGTCCTACGTGAAAGTGTTTTCCAAACACTTTTCTGACGCTATCTGCGAGTTCGTGCTGATTGGATTGTAATCAGCCATTTCTACTTTCCTTTCCTTTCTTTCCCACCAGCCCCAATCAATTGATTGATTTTATTTATTTTCCGATTGATTTTAAGTTTGGTGAAGTTCCTGTTCGAACTATTTCAGTTTTTGCATCGTTATCCTGAAGGAAAAAGTCTTTTCGTCCAGGAACTAAAACCTGCCTTTTTCCTTGGGTGCTGACTAAATTCATTTGGGCCTATTCATCATACTGAAAGCTATCGCAGAAAGCTATTGAGCCTTTTTTTAAGATATTTTAATAATTATTTGTGCACTATGCACTAGAAAAACTGTGCCTCACCTCTTTCCTCTTCGACTCCTGTTGGACGTTTTTGGCGATGACTTCGAACAGTGGTGCTATGAATGGAATTAAGGTGAATGCACCGGTTGGGAAGAATTGCAAATACGCTTCCTTGAGCTGAAACGACAGTGAGCATCATATACATATAGTAGTATATCATAAGTACTAGTAAATACAGCAAAATCTTTGGATCAGCCGCTCGAGTCTGACAGGCGGTTTTTCTAAAAATCTTGAAAAATAAGTTTTTTTTGAAAATATTGCTACTAGTTGTGGCGCACTCATGAAGTGTATAAATAAATATATAAATAAATAAATAAATAAATCTACCCAGGTCTGCTTTAAGGCAACCAGAACGAACCTGCTCCAGACTGTAAGGCATTTTCTTATTGCCTACTTCCTGTTTGAGATACCCATAGAACTCTTCGATCAGTTGCTCCCAGTGTGCTCGACGTTCTTTTCCACTTAGGAACGTAACGAAAATTTGAACGAGATCTGTAGCAGCACATCCGAAATGGCATGTCTGAAGAGCGACAGCAACTATTGTGAATATATGGTAATAGTTGAAAGTACAAATGGCTATATATGGTGATAGATACCTGATAATCTATCACAGCGACCAGTTTATGTTCTCCAGCACCTTTCTTCCAAATAGTGTTCATAGGATAGATATCACCATGACAAAGGACACTCCTCATTCCATCTGAAGAAGTAATAAGACGAACGAACAGATATTTCTAACTTTTATGCTACACAATACTGTANGATTTCCTTTGAAGTTACTTTCATTGCATGAAAATGCGATACTCGCTTATAGAAGATTCGATTAACACTGAGTGGGCGTGGCTAGAATTCTTCCCACCAGGGACATATGAGTCAAGAGTGGAAGCACGGAAAAGGGATGCTCTCTCTGGTTTTTTTTTTCTTTTCTTCTTTTTTCACACAATCTAATTCTTACTCCAGAAAAAAAAACAAATTAAAAATCGCAGGTTATTTTATAATCCAATACTTACTAAATTTATTCGGTAGTTCATCAGCCCATTTGAGATTATCGGCCATATCCGGAGCGATTGCCCTCAATCGTGCAACTTTACTCGCAAGTTTGCCACCGCTCTGCTCCATCAACATCGCGAAAACTTTTTCTCTTTCCTGAATTAGAGATCTATAAGTTTTAGACTGTAAGTTGTGATCGATTTCCTTGTATATTCTCTGCTGAAACACTCATTAAAGAGGTAAAGCTGTATGGGACAGTGCTGAGAGTAGATATTTCACCTCTTCCAGAGTGAATGCTGTGCACAAAGTTCTAAATGGTCCACTGAAGAAATTTTCCATTTCTTTGAATGGAATGTCGAGTGAGGCAGCTTCGAGAACAGCTAAGTGGCGCAGAAGCTGAAAAGAAAAACGCTATAGAAAATAGAACTGGAATTGTTGCCGTGCTCTCTAGTTCTATCCAATGTGGGAATTAAATTTGGANGGGGGGGGGGGGGGGGGGGGGGGGGGGTAACCGTGGGGAAAACCCACAATGCATATCTGGTTCTGTTCCGTCCCTGGTAGGAACTTTCACCTTAGATCTCGTATATCCTCCCTCATTATCAAAGTCTGGATGAACTAAGCTGTAGTAGGCATGTCACCCGTTTAAAGGGAAATAGACCCCTGTTCCTTTTCTCAGTTTGATTTTTCAACTCTTTTGTAGCAACAGGATCAATGAGCTTCTATTGTTTCGGGGGCGGTCCAAACATAACTAGCAAATAACCCAAAGGACTATTAGGCGTGAACTTCCGATTCAGATGTCTGGCATCAAATTGGTTCTATACCAGAATGAACTGATTGAACTGACCTGTCTGATTTCTCCTAACGAAAAGCTATCAAAGATCTCTCGTTCCTTATCGTTATCGAGGTATTCCATAAGTATGTAGCCTTTCAGCGTGTTACGCTCGCAGAATTCTCTCGCATCGTAAATCTGAAAGTTCAATTCATCTGAATAAAGTATAGTTGATGCCCGATTCATAATGATTTCTACATAGTTACGGAAAAGTATGACCAATACGTGACAATCAACTTGTTTTGTGCTTTCAGGTGTTTGACGGAAAATATCTGTTTGATTAATTTGCCTGATAGAATCTTTCCTGAGACAAGCTCAAAATATGTTAGCAAATGCTATGGACAAGAAGATCCCGTGACCGAGCTTGAAGGTCTTGGTTGAGAATTCCACCAGGGCGCTAGTGGATGTTCCTTGTTTGATGATTGACAATCGGATAGGAGGGATAGTGTGCCTGCTATCCGATAGCAGGCACCTTATCCCTCCTATCCAGTAGGTTCCCTCTCACCAAAAAGTCGGTTGCTCAAGCTGATTTTGTGAAACCCAACTAACTCACCTTTGGAATTTGTATTTTCCCTTCAGGAAGCTTTGACAGGTGTCTGTATGCGGCGACTTCAGCGTTGTGAGCCTGAAATATCCCAGTAATTGAGTTTTTGGTCCAACGCTCCTCATCCTTATACCGATACTAGTGGTTGTGAATACTTTTTTGTTCAATTACTTTGTGATTAGACCAAAAAGTATTCATTATTGCTATCGGCTTACTGGTGTATCTGACTTTTGTAATTACTATGACCTAATTAAGTTTATATGAAGTGAACGCTGAAAAATCTTCTTACACGCTTCAGGAATGCTTCAAAGAATTCCATTGATGTTGGTTGGCAAAAGTCGTTGTTTGAGTTTTCGAGCTTCGAAACGTGAGTTGTATATTTCACCCAAGGAATGGGGGTAATCACCTGAAAAAACAATAAATATCGAATCAGATTGGGACGGTAAAAGGCATGGGTAAGTGAGGCATGGCTGCACTGGCAGTTACTCTGAAGGGGTACAGATCAAGATTGTTTAGTACAGCGTTGAATTGATATCGAAAGCGTCGACAGGCCATGACTGAGTGGGCCTCGAAAGTTTGACCCCTTTTCCTTCAATCTTATGTTCATTTAAGGAGCTTACACTGAGCTCTGGCAAGAGTTTGGAATCCCACATAACACCCATCACTCGATGAGGACCGGGTCCTCTTCTTTGGCGGGCAAGACACCGAAATGGTCAGGCAATTAGAATAAGGGCCACGTCATTAGAATTACAGTTGAATTACTGAAATCTTTCCCAGATTGAGAGCATGAGAGGAAGAACTTCAATATGGTCCATCTGACTTGGACGCCCCTAAACAATGAAGTTTGCGAGTGCGGCGTGGATAGGGCTTATCCCATAGATTTACTCAGGGATCTCTTCTGAAGAACGTAAAAAAAGTTTTGTACAGTATCAAAATACCTTAAGCACAAATTTATCTGGCAAATTCTTGTCCTTATTCTTCCAATCGGCATCAATCAGAAAGACTTTCGACATGTAACCCTGAAATACCATGAGCTCAATAAGCCAAATCATACCGAGTCGTAGGTAATCCCATTGTTATTAAAGATGAGTTTTCGCTGAAATCTAACGAATGGAAGTCTGCTTTGTAACTGACCTTGCCATCTCCGATGTCCTTAGCAGTTCTGTTTGGTCCCAGAGTGGCCTTTGTTTGGAACTCATGTTGCATACTCTCTTCAATGTCATGCCATGTCACATGGGTTTCGGAAATGCCTCCGCCCGGCATGAAGAGGTTCATCGCAACCATGTCTGCAACAATGATTATTTTTTAAAACCGTCAAAGCTTCCAAGGTACTGCAGGGCGAAGAGGTGGGTGAGCAGACGGAATTTCTTCCGAAGGCATACTCGTTATCTTCACGAAAAGAGCAAGAGCAGAATGAAGAGGGAGTTCGGTGAATAATAGAGCGGATGTTTTCCATCCCACCAATTGGTTCATTATGATAGATAACTTCAGTAGGCCAAAACTACAAAGTTGAGATGGCCCTGTGGTAGGGCTTGGTCAGATTAGGATGGTAACACCAGAGAGCCGTCGTCAAGATGAACATGAACGTAGTATGGATTGTTATTATGAGGTCCCACGACCACCCAATGAACAATAGGCTACAAAACTTGAGAAGAGTGATCGAATGGACCCAAAAAGGAGGGAACGCGGCGTGATTTCGAAGGACTTCGTTGAAACCTAGGCCGAGGCCGAAGATGCAGCAGAGAGAAGGAAGTGATGAGGGGTGAGTCCTGCGAATTTGTCTTTGAAGGGTGATGAACTCAAAGCTTGGACAGCCTTAGATGAACATTACTCTGAGCGAAACCTAGACCTAATACTAACCAAGGATGGGACTTCTACGGCCAATTTTTTCTGGAATTTTTTATGATTAGGATAAGCAAGGTAGACGTCGATGTAAAGGTAAGTACATACAGCACATAGCAAAGGCAATCGTAAATACAGCAAATAATATGAATAAGGATATAAACAGCGATGGCTACTGCTGTCCATCGTCTGTCTCACTACAAAAGGACAATCTTATGGGGAAAAAATGTCTTCTACACATTAATTCGTATTAAAGTGGACAATTCTCCGTGCAGAAACGATGAGAAATGGTTGTTCGTACAATTTGCGGCAAAAAAGACAAATAATCGATTGTATATGGTCTTTGGAATGTTTGATGAATAAGGTTCAGAAATTCATGGGAAAAAGAATTCTCACATCACCACGTAAAGAACTTCTATCAGAAAGAATTNATTGTATATGGTTTTTGGTATGTTTGATGAATAAGGTTCAGAAATTCATGGGAAAAAGAATTCTCACATCACCACGTAAAGAACTTCTATCAGAAAGAATTCGTAGAACTAGGCTGCGATGCTGATATAGAAGCACTTCACCTGTAGCCGTGGTTACAATGATGATCCCTAATAGTACAACGTCTTAATCAAATTTCTGAACTGCAAAAACAGCTGTACAAAGGCCACTTATCACTTGTGGCATCTGGTTAGTCAACAATTTTCGACAATAAATTACTGTGTTACGTGCCAAATAGGAAAATCGGAATCCGTTGTGAGAATGGGGACGAAAAAAGTAGGCTTGCCAAATCGAATGATGCCACCGTCTTCAGTGGGACGGTTTAGTGGAGGTATTAGAACCTTCCTTGTTGAAAAGGAATGATGCCCATCTACAAAAACCTCGACTGAATCAATGGAAGTGGAATGGAAGACGATTTCTGGGGAGAACGATGAATGACGTCATTCGATGTTAGCTTATTCTGAACGAGTGGTGAATATTGCATTTCTATCTGATTTATACAATAGTTCATCGGAACGCTTCTACGAGCAGAGCTCACCCCTTCGTCGCCTCACTTTCGAAGCTTGTTTTTTTTNAAAAAGAATTCTCACATCACCACGTAAAGACCTTCTATCAGAAAGAATTTGTAGAACCTGGCTGTGATGCTGATATAGAAGCCCTTCACCTGTACCCGTGGTTACAATGATGGTTCCTGATAGTACAACGTCTTAATCAAATTTCTAAACTGCAAAAACCGCTTTACAAAGGCCACTTATCACTTGTGGATACTGGTAGGTCAGCAATTTTCGACAATACATTACTGTGTTACGTGCCAAATAGGAAAATCGGAATCC